GGGAAGGGTAAGCTGGGACAAAGTGAGAGAGTGGCATGGACATATATACACTACCAAATGTAAAATAGATAGCTAGTGGGAAGCAGCCGCATAGCACAGGGAGATCAGCTCGGTGCTTTGTGACCACCTAGAGGGGTGGGATGGGGAGGGTGGGAGGGAGGGAGGGAGGGAGATGCAAGAGGGAAGAGATATGGGGACATATGTATATGTATGACTGATTCACTTTGTTATAAAGCAGAAACTAACACACCACTGTAAAGCATTTATACTCCAATAAAGATGTTTAAAAAAAACAAAAGAGGGAAATCTTTATTAGTAGAACTTAGTTTTTTGTTAACTTAAGTGAAGTTATGCTCTCAGACTGCTCTTTTATTTGATATTAAATACTTTAGATAATTTCAGTAAGTCCTTTTAGAAAGGGAGACTGAAGATAAACACATTGAATTTTTGCTCTAATACCATAGCAGGAAAGTTTGTATGATAAAATTTAAGAAAATCTTTACTCAGTTCTGGAAATTAGAGATTCCAGGATAAAATTAGGGGGCATGGTATTGAAATTTTATGGGGTAAAAGTACTGTTGTTTAGTTTAGAAACTATTTTAAATCTATTTGCAATTTTTTTTAGAGTCTTGGAAATTCACAGAGAGAATATGAGAAGCAGGTTGTCCTGTACAGTATCCGCAATCAGTTACGATACAGAAATAACTTAGGTAAGTAGAGACATTTTTACATTGAGGTAGAAATGACTACTGCTGAATTACATTTTCGTAAATCTGTCCTATCTTTTCATTATATATTTCATAGTACTGAAATTTTTCCATGTACAGCCTTTAATAAATTCTATAATGACCCATCACACCTAACAGTAATTTACATTAGCAAGTAGATTTTTCTAACTCCAATGAAAATTATTTTTTAGAGTACTGTTTATAGATTCATTTTACCTATAGAATATTAATTTTGATTCAGTTGTCCTCTTTTTAGTTTAGTGAGAAAATATGCCAGAAAAGAAGTACGTTCCTTCTTAATGAATTTTGACTTTGAGTTTTGTTTTGGTCTCTATAAATTTTCCAAATAATAAAACTTTAATGAAGACTCTTTCTGTAATAATTGGAACAAATTTTAAACATAATTGACTCCATTTTTTTAAAAAAACTTTTTTTAAAATGTTTGCTTTTTATTTGTCAGATTACTTTGATTATTCTGTTGCCCTGCTAGTCTTCCCTCCCATTTGTTACTCTTATTTTAAGCATAGTATTTCAGAGATAGGTTTTCTATGAAAACGTATTCCATGGAAGTCAGAGGTGTTTTTACATTTAAAACACAGAAACCAGCAAATAATTTTTAAAAATAGACTTGATTTCATAGAAAACTGCCATTCAGATTGGCTGTCTTGTAAAGTATCATAGGGATTGGATGGATTATAGCTTATGTTTTTTGGAGGAGACATTCCATGCTCACTTTCTTTGCTTTTTGATTTGTTAAGAATTATTTCTCTACTTTACTGTCCCATACATTTTACTTATATACTCTGAAGTCTGTTGCTTGTGGTGTAATTGTTTCTTTGTTCCAACTTAAATTGTTTTATTCTCTTCCAATTTACATACTTTTCTTTTTAATTAATATTAGTTTGTAAAGTGTTTCTCCTTGATAATTATATTTAAGTATAAGATCTGAAAAAAAACTGGAGAATTTCCCTTTGTTTCCCAGTTAAACATGTCAAGAAAGATGAACGCAAGTACTATGAGGAACTGTTAAAGTACAGTCGAGATCATCTCATGCTGTACCCTTACCATTTATCAGATATCATGGTAAAGGGCCTGAGGATAACACCATTTTTATATTACACTGGGATTATGGAGGTGAGTTTACAGGGTACGTGAATCTTCAGGGATGGGAGGGGACTTCATGTCGGGGATGCTTTGTGAATGATGACCAGCACTCAGCCACGGTGGACATTGTTTCTGAGTTTATAGTGTAAAAAAGACGGTTGCTTACAAGTTAACTGTTGCAGCCACACTTGTGCAAGTATTTGTCCTTATCAGTGTTTTCTCGGCAGGAAAGTATCTGTCTTTATTTTGTGTTCTTGAAGACGTTGTTGACCCTTTGTGCTGTCGTAGCGTTAATCAGCCATTTATGTTAGCACGGTTTGTATAAAATTTATTGCTTTTAATACACTGTTAAGGTTGAAAATGTGGGTGACAGAGTTGAACATTAAGCGCAGAGAAGCTTAATATATTTAGCTGTTTTCTAACTGTAGAAAGAATAAATGATGATATAGACCCAACATTATATAATGCATGTTTCAGAAGAATAGAATTGTATTAGTAGTCCTGGTTGCTAATCTTTCTGTGATTACTAACTTTTAGATGTTAGCCTTTTTCCAAAGGCAGTTTTTAGGCCTGTGTTGAATAGCTTTAAATAGTAGTTGTATACTGGGGTTTTTTTTGTTGTTGTTTTTTTGCGGTACGCGGGCCTCTCACTGCTGTGGCCTCTCCCGTTGCGGAGCACAGGCTCCGGATGCGCAGGCTCAGCGGCCATGGCTCACGGGCCCAGCCGCTCCGCGGCATGCGGGATCCCCCTGGACCAGGGCACGAACCCGTGTCCCCTGCATCGGCAGGCAGACTCTCAACCACTGTGCCACCAGGGAAGCCCCTATATACTGTTTTTAAGTGAGTTCTTTGTAAAGATTGGCAGTATTTATCTAGTGTTCATTTGCTATTAATTCTATTTGAGTGCTACTGTTCTGGGCTCACCAGCCACTTGAAGAGCAGAGGGCAGCCTAGAACTGAAGGAGTTGGGCGCCTGCAGTAGCAGTGAGGTTAGCTCCCTTTAGGACGTGGCTGCCTTCACAGGAGCTATCTTTGCCTGTCTCCTTAAGCCCCTTCTTCACAGGCACTTCTGTAGTCCCATGTCTCCTGTGTCCCTGTTTTGGAGGAAATACAAAGTAAGGCTTGAGGCCTGGCCGCCCAGGTTTCTGTCAGTCCCTTTCCCTAGAACCAGGGTAGCATAATGAAGGTGGCAGCTAAGCAGTGTGTAGAATAGTTTCGTTGCTGTCTTTCTGATTATTTTTCTGGTGTTGTCCACAGGTTTGGGGGAGATAATAGAGTGAGGTTTTGTCCCATTTACCAGCTTTCAGTGCATCCATGTGCTTGCTGTTCTTTGGTATCTGTTTTTATACCATTGGGTATAACTCCTGGGCTAAAAATGGGTCTTATCCCCACAGTAAACAGCTGGTTTATTACTGGAGAAACAGATGAAGGTTGCAAGAAGCTGGATACTGAGTTTGACTCTTGCTGGTTGGGATTTGGAGGAGCAGAGGCTGCTGAGCGGTTAAGGTCTTTGTCGGCAGTGCTTGTCTTGGATGCTTGTTAATGGAGTTATGACACACTGTTGGGCCTTCTCTCGGGATTCTCTCTAATTCTAGGGTAGGAGTCTAGGATCAGGTATGAAGTGTGGAGAGCCTGGAACCCTGAACTCTGAGAGAGGTATTCCTTGCATAGCTTCCACAGGGCAGAGGTTACTGGGCAACTATCTGGGCTTCATAGTGTGCTGTGAGGAGCCCAGACCTGAAAGCCTGACCTTCAGTTGCTAGGTTGGGACCTCGTGGTACATGCCACACTGTGACATGCATGCTCTAGGTCGCCAGGCTCTGATCTCAGTGCTTCTTGTGGCAAGGACATTTTGCGTTTAACATTTATGTTTTTTTCTTTTTAAAAGGACATTATGAACAGTGAGAAAAGTTATGATTCATTGCCCAATTTCACTGCTGCTGACTGTAAGTATTTAATTATGCTGAAGAACGAGGCAGTGTTTAGAGTGTCTTTGTGCATGCGTGCTCTTGCCTTTCATTATTGTGCTTTTAACCTGGAAGACTTGAAAGATGAGGACAGCAAGCAACATTATTGATAGGAATTTTATCAGGTGATACAAGTCAAGTATAAGATTTAGTCTAAATGTCTGAGAGAGGAATATTTTGGAGTGGTAGAATCAGAAAAATGGGACTAGTCTCTGTATTTCTAGAGAATGAAGTTCTTTCTGATACTTGGGCTGTGGTGTATACCAAATGAGGAAAGAAAATTTGTGCACAATATTTTTGCAGCATGATATATGGTTGTTATTAACATAATTTGCTGGTGTTTTATTATGCTTATTTTAATGAAGTGTGTATTTGAAATGTGACATAGTTCTGTTGTGTTAAGAAGAAACTTTTGCAGAGAAGTACATTTTGACTTCCTGGAATTGGGAGGACTTCTGCTTTTTAAAAATTTTCTCAGTTAGCATTGTCAAAGTGTCAGCTTGAATTCACCTCTCCAGTTGCTTGTCTTTTATGTTGTGTTTGAAGAATTCTTTTTAATTTGATATTGATCATCTGTCAGTAATCAAAAGATGAATGAAAGTCAAAGGTTTTTTCCTAGTAGGTTGTGAGTGTACTGACATTTCAAGATGTATTAAATGATTTTAAAGGAAAGGCTCTTTCTTTTAGGTCTAAGGCTTCTTGGCATAGGAAGGAACCAGTACATTGATCTGATGAATCAGTGTAGATCATCAAAAGTAAGTTAGTTGTTTCCCTTCCCTTCTAATTTCTTGTCCTCCTTATCACGCAATCTGATTAAATTTTTAAGTAGTAGAAATAATGAATTATGATTTCTTTCATCAAATAAAATATGCTTAATACAGAAACAACTCATCAGTATCTCTAGGTTATAGCTTAAGTGATTATTGAATTAAGAATATCTAAGGCATAAGACATTTCATTTATTTTTAAAAGTTAACTTTGCTCTGCTGGTCTTTTCACCTGCTCATTCCACTCCCAGGGTTCATTTCATGGGTGAGATCAGTACACAAATGCATTTTCACCTGGGTTTCCTTTGAATTTCTGGATTTAGATCCAGATTTAATGGTAGTGTTTTGAAGTAATTTACTTTGAAATAATTTAAGAAATGAGTTTCTCCATTCAGTATATCTAGAATACTTTAGATTTTAAAACATGAGAATTTTAAAAGATATTTATTTAGTCTGTTGGAAGCTGTCTTGCTATACTGTTATCAATAAAAAAAGAAAGTAGTAATTTTAGATAGATTGCAAATGCTCTGATGTTTGTACCATTGCAGAAATTTTTCAGACGGAAAACGGCCCGTGATCTTCTACCAGTAAAGCCGGTGGAAATTGCCATAGAGGCATGGTGGGTGGTGCAGGCTGCATATATCACAGAGGATGACATAAAGGTAGATAACTTTAAAAGTTAAACATAGGATTTTTATTTTAAAAATTATAATTTTTAACTATAGTTACATAACTTTTTTACAAAAAGTAACACTAGTTGGTTTTCCTGAAGGAAATTAAACTTAGTAGGCTAGAAATTGGAAGTTTTCGAAAATACTCTTTAATCATCAGGGAGACTTGACTTGGTTCATGTACAGTCATCTGGGGATTTTACTTACATGTTTCATGTAAAGTGACGTGATGCCACAGCTACCAGCAATAGTATTGCCGACGGTTTTTGAGGACTTGCTGTGTGCTCAGTGTGCCAGGCACTATTCCAGCTGCTTTTTATATTGTCTCATTTGAGTCTCATCACAACCCCAGAGCTGTGTGTTATTTGTAGCCTCTTTCACATGTGAGGAAAGTGAGCGCAGAGAAATGAAGTAATGGCTCCAGTCACAGTTCTAGTAAAGGTCTGGGATTTTAACCCAGGCAGTTTGCTGTGCTCTTAATCAGTGTGCTGAACTGCTGTACTGAAGTGGTAAGTGCTTGATAGGGAATAGTGTCAAGATCAAGGGAAATACTATTCCCAGTGGTCAGACCACATTTGCTATAAGCTTTATACATTTTAGAAGGGATGTTGATTTAGGGGAAAAAGGTGGAATAGCAGACGATGTGCCTAGAGACCAGTCATATCCCTGTGGCTGAAGGAATTAAGTGAGCGTGTGGATTTTTTTTTAGTTGGCATTTTGTTTTACTTCCGAGGACAGAATAAATCCAGTGAGTGCAAGGCTTAGAAATTCTGCTTCAGTGCATTTACTTCTGAGCAGAGATGTCAGACTGTGTCATAAGATGCTGATCTTGTCAGTGATAATAATCCTGTGGCATGTGAATGAACTTCTGGTTTGAGAGATCCAGAATCAGCAAATGGATCAGATTCCAGTGCAAAGAAGATGAGTCAATATTACTATTTATTAGTGAGCACATTACTTACCAGCAAGTATTGGCACTTAAAATTGCTTTGTTGTATGAGTTCTGTTGGTAGCATATTTTGACACCTTAATTGATGGTTGTGTGTGGCTTTTTTTGTTTGAATTCTAGAGTAAAAACTGAAAAAAATAAGTAGTTCATTCAACTAATGACTTATAATCATTGGTTTAAACATGAATAGATTTCAGGAAACTTACCAGTTAGTTAATTTGGACAGGACCTAATTGAAAATATTTTGCTTTTCCTAGATATGCACTTTGCCCGAGAAATGCGCTATTGATAAGATCATTGATGCAGGCCCTCAACTCTCTGGATCACTAGATTACAATGTAGTACATAGTAAGTGGTTAGTAGAAATGGTCTTTCGTCAACATAAAAAATTATTTTAAGCCATCAGCAATTTATAGCAATTATTTATCAATTAGGTAAGAACAGTAATATTTCCTAAGGCATGTTATTGTTTGAAATGTGACCTTAGTCCATTGTTTTCCAGTGTGGCTATAATTAGTCACATAGATTAGAAATTTATACAAATGAATCATAAGAAAAATTTTGCAGTTCTGAGCATTTGAGGGAAACCAAGATTTGAAAGCTTTGATGTAATTTTTTTTTCTTCTGTCTTACTTTTTTCCTTTTCATATACCATTAAGTTGTAAGAATCTTTACAGAAAATCAGGAATAAAGTTTTTATTTTTTTAAATTACAGTGCTTACTGGTTCATCTAAAACAAGATACTTTTGCTTCTGTAGGTTTATATAACAAAGGATTTATTTATCTGGATGTACCAATATCTGATGACAGTTGTATAGCAGGTAAATATGTGCTAATATTTCTCAATGTTTTTTGAATGGCTGCTAGGTGCTGGGCATTGTGTGTCACCCTGTTACGTTAGACACATATCATTCTGGGATCTTTGATGTTAGAATTTTTCAAAAAAAAACATTTCTTCCTCATTACGTTGCAACTCATTGAGGTGGTTTTAGTTAAATTCCTTTCATTTTTATCTTTTGTTGGTGTAAGCACTGTATTAAAATAATAGAAATCTGAGATAAATTTCTCACAATCCTAAATCAAACCAGTGTTTTTATACATTTATGTCACCTTTTAAACCTTGTTCAGTGCATAAGTTTCTACATATATTCAGTAATATCATACAATTATATGTTCTTCATTTTACATTGTTTATTTATTTGTTTATTTATTTATGGCTGCGTTGGGTCTCGTTGCTGCGCGTGGGCTTTCTCTAGTTGCGGCGAGCAGGGGCTACTCTTTGTTGTGGTGTGCGGGCTTCTCATTGTGGCTTCTCTTTGTTGTGGAGCACGGGCTCTAGGCTTCAGTAATTGTAGCACACGGGCTCAGTAGTTGTGGCTCACGGGCTTTAGAGCACAGGCTCAGTAGTTGTGGCGCACAGGCTTAGTTGCTCTGCAACATGTGGGATCTTCCCGGACCAGGGCTTGAACCCATGTCCCCTGCATTGGCAGGTGGATTCTTAACCACTGAACCACCAGGGAAGTCCTTGTTCTTCATTTTTACCTGCCATATCTGTGTCTTATATTTTCATGTCACTACCATCTTTTTTATCTTTATCTCTTCCTCCCTTCCTCTTCACCCACCTCCCCAAGTTAAATCAATATTAAGACCCTTGTATATTTCAATTAAGTAAACCATTTCCCTGTTGCTGGTTGTTTAGATCATTTCCTTTTTTAAATATTTTATTCTTTTTTATTTTATTTATTTTTTTGCCTCAGTGGTGATGTGGTTAACATTCTTGGACACATCCTTGGCTTTTTTTCCGTCTAGATTAGATTTCTTACCAATTTATAGAAGCACTTGTTATATTAAGGTTATGTATTATAAGTGTGTTTCCCATCATATCTTTTAGGTATTATTCTTGTTTGTGATATCTTTTACCATTCTAAGATATTGTGTAATCAAATATGAAGTGTCACAAAACCCCAGGGACCTTACTGTTAACAATGAGTGTTGGGGGGCTTTTCACAGCACGACTCCCTCATATCAGGTTATCATAGTCTAGTGTGTCCTGACCTCTATTTTTTATTTGTGTTACCATGTGTTTATGGCCAGGCCTTCCTTTTTTTTTTCTGTAACTTTTTTTGCTTTTTCCAGGTATTTTTCTTTATTTTTATTTTTGTTAATGTATTTTTTGAGTAGGCAGTAATTATGATTATAAAATACTAAATTTACAGAAGAGTATAAAAAGTCTGCTTCCCATGCCTGCCCCTAACCAGTCAGTTCCTCTCTCAGCCGCCACTAAGTTTCCTGTATATTCTTCCAAAAACATACTATGCACATAGGCGTATATGTATATATCCTTTTTTGTGTGTTTTTATTCTTACGCAGATGGTGTATCCAGCTCATACTTTGCTTTTTTAATTATACATTGATACTGTTCCATATCTCTTTATGTAGAGTTGCCTCATTCTTTTTGCCTAGATGTAAATTGTGTATTTCTAACCTTTTAGTGCCTTGTTTCTTTTTTTTTTTTTTTTTTTTTTTTTTGCGGTACGCAGGCCTCTCACTGTTGTGGCCTCTCCCGTTGTGGAGCACAGGCTCCGGACGCGCAGGCTCAGCGGCCATGACTCACGGGCCCAGCCGCTCCGCGGCCTGTGGGATCTTCCCAGACGGGGACACGAACCCATGTCCCCTGCATCGGCAGGCAGACTCTCAACCACTGCGCCACCAGGGAAGCCCAGTGCCTTGTTTCTTCATCTCTAAGATAGGGTATAGTTTTGAACAACTCTTAACATTAAGAGCATTAAGTGAAATTGTATATATAAAGTAGCTAGTAGTATAGTCTGGCACTTAGTAAGTGTTCAGTAAACGTTTACACTTCGTATTCACACAGCTGAGAGTGTAGGAAAAGAATTAATTATGTAAAAAAATGAGATTACTAAAATATTTCTAAAAAGAAACCTTTAGTCCTTAACAGTCCTTGGATGATTGGAAATATGGGTAGCACTAAATCAGAAAATGACATGAGCCAGAGCTGTAAAGTAGATAGCCTATCCTGATGTATACATTGTGGTTCTTCACAGTGCCTTCATTTTGACCACTTGAATTTTGTCTTATATCTCTCTGTTGGGAATAATTTAGGTTTTGGGTGCAGTTAGGTGGTGTTAGGGTTAGAGGACACAGGGACACCCAAATCCTGCTATGGCCTAGGCACACGCCTTCTTCCCACGATGTTTTCAGGGGAAGTGTGCCCACAGGGGAGAATGGCAAAGGAAAGCATAGTGCCTCTTTATTGCTGGCCAGGCAGAGCACTCTAGTAAAGTGGGTTAGAGCATCTGGACCAAAGAGATGGAGAGAAGTGAGTAAGAATAAACAGGTGGGGAGCATCAATCGGGCAGCCTCTTGTGCGGAAGGTCTTGACCCTCTTCCCATTGAGGAGGTTACAGAATAGAAAGCCCCAAAGAGCAAATTATACCAGTGATAAACGTGGCAGTCATGCAGATGAATTTCCCCTTTTCTCAGGATGGAGCAGGGATGATGTGGAGGGCAGAGAGCCAATACCTTCTGTCCACCTGGTTTTGGATAGCATGGTGACTTGCAGTTCTTGCTTCTCTGCTTTAGACCAGCCACCTGCTGCCCTAGACGCATCAGAAACACACCCTTGGCAGGCTTCCCCATTCTGGAGCAGCACCGGCGCCCCTGCCGTTCTACCAAGTCCATGCCTCTAGCACTTCTCTGCCTCGGTAACGCTGAGAGGTCCATGGGGATGAAATTACTCTTTGTAGGATTTATGCTCTGCCTTAAGCGTCCACTCTGTGTAGACAGCATTGCATATGACCTTACTTTGGGAGTTTTAGGAAAACTTGCTATGGAGTTGGTAAAATGAATCAAAAGCTGAATTCAGCCCCTAAGTTGGAGGTCTCTTTTCAATTAGATGTTTGAATTAAACTTTCTTGTTTTATAAAATTATGTCACTGAGAAAAGTCTGTTTTGTTTATTTTAGTTCCTCCTCTTGAAGGTTTTGTAATGAATCGAGTGCAAGGTGATTATTTTGAAACTCTACTCTATAAGATATTTGTTTCAATAGATGAGCATACTAATGTTGCAGAGGTAAGTATGATAGCATCTTATGAAAGAACTTAATCTCAAGATTATAAAATAAGTTTGTGTAAAGTAGATAAAATTATTTAATGATATAATTAAAATATTTTCAAAGTCCACCCATGGTTAGATCTTGGACCATTAATATACTTAAGTTCACTATTCTTAAGTTACTTCCTGCATATGTATATTAAAATTTTTTTAGTTAATAGCTTATGAATGGGTTAAATAACTTTATATGACTTTATAATAAAAGCATTGTAGACAATTGACTGATCTGGAAATTTTTTTTATTTTGAATGAGATGAAATTAAAGGCTAAGTAATTCAGTTGTTATGGTCACTGCCTGGATTTGTACTCCTCTAAGTGTCTTAGAGATATGGAACGAAAAAAATTCTGATTACAAAATTTATTCAGACTCAGTTATTAATAATTAAAATTTTTCTGATTATGGTTAAATTGTCTATTACAACTGTGTAATATGCTTATGATTCTTAGAATGTAAAATATTTTTAAAATTTTATTTTCCAGCTTGCAAATGTTCTTGAGATAGACCTATCCCTGGTTAAGGTATGTAATTTTTATACTCTCTTCACTTGTGATAAGAATACTGAATGGATTATAGATTTTTGTCTTGATACTGAGAAACGGAAGCAGTGAGATTCTTGTTAGCCGTCAGAGGAAGTGTGCACAGTCGGGGTGCTTACAAAGATAGAGAAGAGCAAAATAAGAACCCTGAAGCAGTATTCCATCCCAGGGAGTGAAAGCTGTACTCACCCATCTGTGCCCACCAGAAAGCAGCCTGACCGTGTCTTGTAGTGAAGTCACAGTATCTTGTAATGAAGTCAGATAAAGCAACAACTTCCGCTTCTTTGGGGGTGGATCTAGGGAGGCCCAGGCCAGACAGTTGGGAGCATTCCCTCTCGTACATATGTGAAGACCTTAGGGGAAGACTAGGCCTACTGAAAATTTTTTCTTCTAGTTATGGGATGAAAATGTTTGAGGCTCACTGTAAGCATAGTCCATAATAATTTTTTCTCTACAAACATTCTGAAGTCTAGTTTATTTCAGATGTGCATTTCCTTTATATTCCTTTCAGAATGCTGTGTCAATGTACTGCCGATTGGGGTTTGCCCATAAGAAGGGACAAGTAATAAATTTGGATCAACTTCATTCATCGTGGAAGAATGTTCCATCCGTAAACAGACTAAAGTAACTCATTTATTTAGTAGGAGAGTTTCTTTTTGAAAAAAGCATTGTTTTACATACAAAAATTTTACTTATTCAACCTGTCAACTGAGGTGAACCATATACATATTAGTGGTTGTTAACCTTGTGTGTGGTCATCTTTTTTAGAATCTGATGAAAACTAAAATGCTTTCCCCAGAGAAAAGCTCATACAATATTTTACATATAATTTTTAAACATTCTCAAATTTCCTGAAGCCTATCCATGGGTTTAGTTAAGAAACTTTTCTGTGTGTGCAGAGTATTTTGGGACTGTGTCTCAATTTGGGGCTTGAATGTAAGAGTGGATTTAGGTGGACGTTCATAATTTAAGTACTGACTTCAGTAGCTGTTTTTATATATGATCATTTATATGATTTTTAAAAAGTGAATGTATTCTTCATTAATAGGAGTACTTTAGATCCACAAAAGATGCTCCTATCATGGGATGGCGGGGAAAGTAGGAGTCCTGTACAAGAAGCTTCATCGGCTACTGACACTGATACAAATAGTCAAGAAGATCCAGGTTAGCAGTAACTCAGTTTGAGTCTGTCTGTAGATAAGCCATGTGTCTGCACATACACTCATAAAGCAAACTCTCCAGGCTTAACAGTTATTTTGTGGTTTGTTCTGGATTTCAGTCATTCAAAAGTAGTCTTTGAGTACTTACCCATATGTTGGGCCTTGTGGTAGATTTTAGGGGTATAAAATTGACAAGAGTATGGTAGTTTCCTTCCAAAAACTAAGTCTGGAGAGTATAACCATAAAAACCACCACAGTGTGAGAAGCATTATGGTGCTTGTGGAGCGCAAAGAGGAAGAGCCCTCTTTCTGCCTAGAGAGGTTTAGGAGCCTTCGTAGAGAAGATGATTTTTGGGTTGAGAATGAATAAGAGCATGCCAGCTGGTGAGTGCAGGAAGGCCATTGCTTGGGCTGAGCACAGAGGGAGGCAAAGCATAGTGGACGAGCGGGCTGCACATGGTTTTGTGTTGGGAGGGGAGAGGGGCACGCAACGTGGGCTTCTGCTCCTACCCTAAGTAGCTGTTACCTGAGCCAGGTGACTTGTCTGTAGAGGTTTGGCTAGGTAGTCTTATTGATCTGACAGTGATCAAGTCTTGGTTTATTATTGGTTTTCAAAAAATTTACTACAGAAGTAAGTGCCTTTAAAAAAATTTTTTTTTGAACTTTAACTTTTTTTATCTCTATGTTGGAGATAGGTAGGATTGGGACCTCTTGTGACTACAGTGTTACCTATATTATGTACTTTCTGATTATTAAATGAAGCTGAAATGAAATACTTTCTCATTCCAAATGATAAGCAAAGAACAGTTTTCACTTACTTGATTTTTAAACTATGATTTTTCTTTCTCCCAACAGACACAGCCAGTATAAGCAGTTTGAGTTTGTCTACAGGGTATACAAAGCGTATTGCATTCCTGTTTGACTCAACTCTTACTGCCTTTTTAATGATGGGAAACCTTTCACCAGTAAGTCAGATTCTTGTTTAAATACGAAAATGTTTAAAATAAAGATTAGATATAAAATAATTCTGTGCTTTTATATCTTTTTTTAAGTACTAGATTTTTCCCAGAAAAATGCAACTGCCTTTGTCTTATATTCCTTAGAGGAATGTCGGAACTTTTTAGTGAGGGCTACTTTTGTTATTAGAAAAATCAGCTCCTCACCCACCCTTAAGTTTAAATGTATTGGAAAGTGTAATATAAATCTAAGGGAAAACTACAACTTATTAATAATAGGCTCAAATAAGGTACATTTTAGTTTTATTTTTGTTTCTTTATTGCAGAACTTGAAAAGCCATGCAGTCACAATGTTCGAAGTTGGCAAACTCTCAGATGAGTCTCTGGACAGCTTTCTTATAGAACTAGAAAAGGTAAATCTAGATAGCTTATTATGGGATGTCAAGGCATTTGGAATCTTCTCTTGCTTGATAAAACATCAGTTATTGATTATGTAGATTTTTCGTATATTCTTGTTCACTGCTACCTCATCCGCACTTTAATACCGTGGCAGTCATTTAGGCTTAAACATATTGAGCGGATGAATGAATTTTGTGATTTAAAAACAGTGATTTGTCTACCTCATCTAAGCTGTTAGCATAACTTGATATAATGAAGAAATGGGGCATAGAAATCTTAAGACTATGTGTAATTTTGTAAATTGCACTTTTCTAAAGTAGCCTTTAACTTTTTTTTTCAATATGACTCTAAGATCTACTCCTAAGCAATTTTATTTGAAGTTTTTGTTCCACTTATCTTAAATCTAGAACAGTGTCCCTGGGTATCGTATTTATGTCCACTCTCACTACCGCTTTTAGCGTCTTGAAGACTTCAGCCATATTTGTTCTTAACCGTCTTTTTCCTCATGAGTACAGCCTAGTTTTCCTTAGCTCTAAATCTTGATTGCCCTTTTGGTGTTTTTCATTCCCTGGATATTTTATTCTGTCCTCTGCACTTCTTTATGCAAGCAGTTTGTGTGCCTAATCTATTCTTTGACTAATAATTTTGGTAACTTTTGTGCTTTAGTGATGAACTCATGTACGTTTAGAGAATTTTTTATGATTTTTTACTTCCTTTACATCTCAGAAAAAAGACTTAACCATACATTTTTTTCCACTCCCCCTTCTCCATAGGATTTTTAGTGCCTGAGATAATCCTTGTTATTAATTTGTCTCTTTAACTTTTATCTTTATATTTTTATTTCCTCAATACTTTTAATATCTTGTTTAACCCTATTTCTTATTGTATATCATCTTTTGCCAGTAAATTTTTTATATTTAGCACATTTTAACATGTTTTCCTGATTTTTATTTTTCTCACCTCAACTAGTGTTTTATCATGTTTAGCAAATTGGAAGATCCCTTTTACACTTTATATATCTGTATTCTTTTTTACCACATAGTCATTCTTGGGAAAGCCCTTTAGTCTGAAGTTTAGTTTAGTTTTTTTTTTTTTTTTTTTGGGCAAAAATAGTTTCTTAGCTATTTTTTAAGCTTCATCTTGATTAATCAGTTGATCTTATTAATTTCATGCAAATCTATAATTTCGTTATTTCCCCCTGTAGACCTTACCTTCTGTTTTTTGTGTTGTTTCTGGAATGTGTATGTTTTTACATATTAAACAGGTGACTGGCTCAGTGTCAGAAGAGCATACATGAAGGCAGGAGTTTTGTCCACCACTCTCTCCTAACATCCTAGAGAGGTCATAGCACATAATAGGGACTCAGTGAATCCTTATTGAGTGATTTTTAAGCTGTATGTTCAGCAATGTTGAACAGCTGTGTTGAATCACGTATGCCATTGTTCCTTGCAGAGTTGTGAACAGGGTGATAAGATAGTGGCATAATTGGTGACCATGGATTGGAGTACTTTTTTGGATGAAACAATATATAGATCTTAGAGTTTTTAAAGCACCTTGTTTGAATCATATATGGAACATACAACGTATAATGGTACAATTTAACATTACTTGGTTGCTGAAGTTGTTGGTTTTACTTGCTGGGGTAATTTCTGTCATCTTCAAAGGTATAGTCACATGGAAGCCCAGCCACGATTGGGGTTAATATTTGTTTCAAAATCGCCTGGGCAAATTTTTGATTTACTGATTTTAAATATCATAATATTTCTACTGTATGGTTATATACTAGAATAAATGGCACGAGAGTGGTTTTTGTTGCAAAATTTGTTTTCTCTTGGTTTAGGTTCAGAGCACTGGTGAAGGAGAAGCACAGAGATACTTTGATCATGCACTCACTCTGAGAAACACAATATTGTTTCTGCGTCATAATAAAGATCTAGTTGCACAAACTGCACAGCCAGACCAACCCAATTATGGTATGATAAAAATACTTGATTTTGAAGACATGATCCTGTGGAACTTCTTTCTAAGAAATTAAACAGGTCATGCTCACTTATTTAATCATCACTTATTTAAAACATTTTGTATCGATAGCACATTGAATTTATAACTGTTGGTTTGTTCTGAGAATTTCTCTACTCATCAGCTGTTCCTTACCTTATTTTACTGTTTCTCCTCTTTTATGTGCCACTGACTTTTGTAGTATCTAAATTTGTTTAGTTACCTACAAAAAGAGTTGGAGTGTTAATTTGTTTAAGTAGCTGGATGGGATATAGAATAGGCATCTGTTTTGAGAGATGGACAAATGCCAAAATTTATTTAGGAAGCATGAAATATCAAGAATGAAAGATTCGTTATATAAAGATAATAAACATTCAAATGCTGCTATAATATTTACTAAAGTATTTTACTTAAAAGAATAAAAAAGGGAACAGATAACCTCATTTCAAAAAGTTAAAGAAAGAAATGGAAGCAGTTTTAATCTATTGATGAACTCTAATGTGGCTCTTTCCCTACAGCATGAAATCCAGAGAGATCGTGACTTCCCTAGTGTGCCCTCTCAGTTTTGTGGTAGAAAGGGGTTCCTGAACTTTAGTTGAACAGATGGTATTAGCTCCTAAATTGTGGAATGGCACCCAGGAATGTGTGTTTTTAAAAAGATGCAACAGCTTGGGCACCAGTGTAAGAGCATTACACTGTGAATGTAATTACATTGTGAAGTCTTTGGACATTCACAGTAGTTGCATTTTGGGACACTGAATTCTTAGCACCAGTACCACATTTAATTTCACTCATTCTTTCATGTACCTAAAAGTTCTGTTTTCTGGCCAAGAACCATCATTTTCTTAGTCATATCCATTTTCGTTCTACTGCTTTCATCAGCATCTGGCTTTCTTTTCAGCTCAACTAAAAAAATTTAGGGCAGAATCACTTGTCACTTCACAAGAGTTGTTGCAGAGGAGAGGACAAAGATGCTAGGTAGTTTAGCTGAGTGAGGCTAGACACGCTTAGTACCTAGTGACTCACTTCTTCAGCCTTGGGGTGTTTGGTTCAGAGTTGTGCTTTAGCAGTATTACAAATGCTTCCATGCTGGAGCTCTTTCTGAGGTTATTCATAAACAGTTGAAACTGAGAATATTAAATCACCAAACACCAAGAGTCTAAAGCACTTATTGATAAGCATTTGTTGATAGTTACCAAATATTAGATCTTGTGACCTAACAGTGAGTGGCACAGTCTTAAATATGTCTCTGGATGTACAAATCCTGGAATTTCTGGGATTTTTTAGTGACTTATCGAGATAATGGGTTAGAATATTTGAACTATTCTGTTATAGCCATCTTTTACTGCCCATCATAGAATCGAAGAATATTAGTGCTAGTGACCAGCCAGGGGTAACTCAATTTATAGGTAAAGAAATTGAAGCTTATCTTGGTTAAATCTGCCCATTTGGTCATTAAAACCCATATAATTAGTAAATGGAAGAGCTGGGACTTGAATCCATGTCTCTTGAATTTTTTTCCTTTGCTCTGTTCCTTACATCATCTTCTCTTGAACACTAAGGTTTTTATTGATTTATTCATCAACAATTCGTTGTTTAATAGGTTGGGCTAAACTTTGTTTTTCACCATGAATAGTCTGTGTATCATCAACTAAGTTAAATGGTAAACCTAAACCTATTCTGTGTGAAAGTAAAGTATAATTCTAACCTTTAAGGTATATTTAATAGTTGACTATTTTGGAGCTCAGAATAATTGATGTGGCTCCAAAGTTAAAATGTGATTAACTCCTCCCTCCCCATGGGACCAAATGGGCAATTGTTTATGAAGTTTCATTCTTTTAACCAGCCTTTCTTAACTGGGGCTCCTCATTAGAACCACAGAACACAGAAGATGATTTAAGTGACTGTTTCTCAATTTTTCTTATAATGGCGTATAACTAGTACCATTCTAGATTCTTGGAAAAGAAGGTCGTTCATTCCAGATAAAGAATAACTTTTTAGGGCATTAGGGCTTAATATTCTCCATGTTGAGAAAGGTAACTTTCTGTAGGTGCCAGGAGTGATAACTTAATCTTACTCCTTTTTAAACAAGAAATTCTATAGTATTGGTGTTTAAGCATCTTGTTTTGAGTAGCAAGAATTTTTTTTTTATGTCACTAGTAATTTGTAGTTTGAATGTATCATGTAGTACTTGGTATTCACTGTAAAGCAAAAAGCCTTCTGATACTGTCATAGAAGCAAACCTCTGATATGTGTGAAAAAGCCTAGTTTCTTAGTAATCTTTTGGTTTTAGACAGCATGAGGCACTGCTTAAAAAACAGAAACAATGTGTGGTCTAACTTTTTTTCATTTTATAAGCATAATTTTTTTTCCAGGTATCTTTGTCTTTAAAAAGATATCTTTTCCCTAGGATCAGTATAAGTGAGACCTTCAAGCCATTGTTTGTAATTTGGCAGTCTAGTACTATGAAATGTTTAGAAATTAAACCTCATTTGTAGAAAAGCAGTCAGTTGTAAAAACTTTGTTTTAACCATCATCAACTCTTTAGACTTCCTTCCATATCCTAGTGTTCATTAAATATTTTCTATACTTGGCATTGACAATGTTGAGTTTTACCTGAAGCTTCTCACCCTTTTGTGTTTCAGAAAAGGGCTTACTGCAAGGACCCACCCTTTCTCATATAGCTTAGTTAAGATCACAGGCACTCCCCTTGTTTATCTGTGAGAGGCCAGACACAGACAGACCCTCCAAATTCCCTTTATGTTTTTAGAGAGCAGTAGGACTGGTATTTTCCAGGATTAAGAATGGGGACACTTAAAATCAGTTGCATGCTAAGTGAGTTCCTGCTTTATGGACTACAGTTTAGGCACATGTTTCTAAATGAGGAATTCTTGCCCTTCTGGTCAATTCAGAGCTTGGCTGCAGAGTTTTTATAGAGATTGAAAACTGGGGGAGGGAAGGATACAGCTTTCCCATGGCATTTAGGCTTTCATAAGATGCCACTGCCATGATGGAGAGGAAGTAAGATAAAGCAAACATATTTTTAAAGTATAAGGTTAGCCTGAAGAAACACCAGTAGACAGTTATCTTTCTGGACCAGAGAATAAAGACTTTCAGTTTTAAGTCTTAAAGAGTCTTATTGGTCTCCTAGGAAATAAAGTGCTTTTTTTTTTTTTTTTTTTTTTTTTTTTTGCGATATGTGGGCCTCTCACTGTTGTGGCCTCTCCGGACGCGCAGGCCCAGCGGCCATGGCCCACGGGCCCAGCCACGCCGCGACATGTGGGATCCTCCTGGACCGGGGCACGAACCCGCGCCCCCTGCATCGGCAGGCGGACTCCCAACCACTGCGCCACCAGGGAAGCCCCCTAAAGTGCTTTTTAATAGAGATATTCTACCTTATTAAAAAAATTTAAATCTCAAGGCAGGTACCAGTGTTTCATCTTAGACTCTTTTTTTTTCACATTGTCAGTCTTTCATTCTATGTATGTGGTTGATCATAATTCAGGTTTTCCTCTGGATCTCTTGCGCTGTGAAAGCCTTCTTGGGTTGGACCCTGCAACTTGCAGCAGAGTTCTAAACAAAAATTACACACTGCTTGTTTCCATGGCTCCTCTCACCAATGAAATCCGGCCTGTCAGCAGCTGCACCCCTCAGGTAAAGACTCACTGGGAAGCTCACTTTGCTGCCATTTCATCCTTCCTCATGGTGTCTTGAAGGAGAGGTTTATCAGTCTTATTGTATTAAGACTGATATACAAATATTAAAATCATGAACTCAGAAAGCAGTTTTGTGTTTTTTGCTGTTGTAAGATGTTACATTCAGTTTGTGAGGTATAATTGGTACATTTTATATATGTATTATCTAGTGACTAGTGACACACTCAGTTAAAATTTTCTTCTTGAATGCAGGATTTTAAAGAAAATGTTTTTGGCTGCTCTGAGAAGGAAACCTGGATTACCTTGAGGGATAAGATAAATTTAATTAGGAAAAATGAAATATTTTGGAAGTGGGGCTGTGATGCTAAATAAGCTGAAAAGAAAAGATTATGCTTGAAAGCTAGAACTCTAGTTATCTTTAAAATTGTGAAAATGACTTCTGGTCTTTTACTTTTAAAAAATAGATCAGTTGCGTTTGTTTGTATACTTAGCAAGGCCGTTGTGACATGTACCATTTTCAAAGAGTGAGCTTTGTGCTCTGTTCTTCAGTGCTACATCCTTCCTGGTTTCCTAGATGTGCTGGGTTTAATAGTGTAGAAGAAAGGAAGGGATTCTTGTACCAGGATGATTTTGTTGCCTGTGCTGATCTAGCTGCCTCAGTGCGCCCACTCCCCCCTTACCCCAGTTTTGTCCTGTGTTCAGCA